ATTGCCCAACCTTCCTTCCGAGGAGTGGCTAGTGAGTTTGAACCATCAGCCTTCTGGTTAGCAGTCAAATGCCTTAAGAACTACACTACCAGAGCTCCCTCAATTTACATACCAACCATTATTGACCACACATTCAATTGAGATGCATTGGTAATTACTGGCAATTGGAATGTGAAAGTTGGAAATGGAGAAGGATTGGTAGTTGGAAAATATGGCCTTGGTGATAGAAACAATGCCTGAGATAGCATGATAGAATTTTTCAATACTAGTGACTTATTCATTGCAAATACCTTTTTTCAACAACGTAGTGACTATACATGTGAACCTCACTAGATGGAATACATAGGAATCGAATCAACTACATCTGTGGAAAGAGATTAAAAAGAAGTTCAGTATCATCAGTTAAAACGAGGCTAGTTAGGGGCTGACTGTAAAGACCATCAATTGCTCCTTTGCAAGTTCAAGTTTAAGCTGGAGAAAGTTAAAACAAGTCCACGAGAGCCAAAATATGACCTTAAGTATATTCAACCTGAATTCAGAGATTATCAAAAGAATAGATTTGACTCATTGAACACCAGTACCCAAGACTAGAAGAGTTGTGGGATGACACCAAGAACGTCATACGTGAAGAAAACAAAAGGTCATCAAAAAGGTGGAAAAGAGGAGGGGAGACCCATTATTGCATTTTAGACAGCCACTAGCAAGCTGTTAAGACTCCAGTCGCTGCTCACCAAAGTAGGATGTAGAACAGTGGTTTTGTGTATATGCCAATGGAGTTTGATGTCGCCTGTGACCTTGGTCCCGAGCCCACAGGTCCAAGTACTTGCTACCTCAGGGTGGTTGGTTGTGGCCAAGAAGTTATCATAACTTTGCCCCTTGTTAGCTTTATTATATTTTTGGGCATTCTTACAGCACATACAAATATGTATGTAGAAATATCATCTGCCAGCCTTACATATGGCCAGGGTATATTCCTTTTTTGCCTAGACATACCTGGGAGAACAGTGTGGAACAAAACTCAAAATCATAAAAAAGTCCAGGTTCACTGGTCTGAGAGAGCCTGCTGAGACCTCTGAGACTATGGCTCCTAGTTGCCCTTCAGATCTGGAACTAAACTCACTCCTGTGGCTTCTAGCTAACAGTAGACAAGCATATAGGGTGAACATTTACATCAGGTAGATACACTCCTTAGAGCTATCAATTGTGGGAGAACAAAAGGGCAGTGTTTGTACAGGGAGATAGCTCGGGGGACAGAAAGGCATAGGAAGGAAGGACACAGGGAAGAGGTAACCACAGGGAGGAAGTGGGAATAGAGCTGTTACATTGTGGGGAATTGCAGTCAGTGTCATGAAACA